TGTGTGTGTGTGTGTGTGTGTGTGTGTGTGTGTGTGTGTGTGTGTGTCTTAATTGCTGCTCAAACTAGTGAACTTCCCTCAGGACGTAACTGTATTTTGTCTCTCTGCTCTGCGTGTTGACTGTATTTACCCTTCTAATCCTCTATTTATCTTCCGGTCTGTTTGTCTTTCCTCCTACCTGTCTTTTTCTCTGCATCTCCATCCGTCAGTCTTCCTGGAGACTATTTTCCGGTCTGCCTTGATAGTTGCCTGGTTCCTTTCCTTGCCACCTGGCCATGTAATTTAATGACTGCAGTCCTGCCCACCTACAATAACTACACTTTAACCACATCATCTGTTTGCATGTGTGTGTGTGTGTTTCTGTGCGATAATTGTGTATATTGTCCGCTGTGTGTCCCAGGACATACTGTATCGTCAGCTTGTGTGTTTGTGTGCTTTTCCATTTGGAAGCAAACGGTAGAGCTGACAAGTTAACATCCTATCAGCCAGACGCCCACACAAGCTCCGGCCCGTGGACAAATGGATCGGAAACGCTACCAAACACAGATACAAATCTGAGCTACCGCAGCGGGTTGTGTTGCTAGTTTTAGATAAGTCTGAGAACAGGGGGTTTCCGACTTGTCTACATAAATGCTGACATACATCGGTTTTCATTTGAAGTGGAAATTATGAGTAAATTTTAAGTATTTGATAATAAGTAGTTGATTTGATTCAGTACTTATTATTGGAAACATTGCATTCTTAAACATGTTAGGTAGTTCTATTAGTTTGTTGAGTGATTTATACTTCCTACCAAAGTCCTTTTTAGTTTACATGGAAGGTTCAGTCGGAAGGAGCAGTGAAAGTTTGTCACATTGATCATAGAATTATGGAAATATGTTGATCAGTGACTTATTTCTCATTAACATAACTTAAACGGCTGCATTGATGGTTTTTTTTGCGCGCGCTATTTTTCATAAATGTAGCTAGATAGCTGACTGGCTATGAAAGCACACGATGTCCTCTTTCCCAATCCTGCCTATTAAGCTCTGATTGGTCACCTGTTTTGCTGATTGGGTGCAAAAGTCATCAACGGGCGCAACATCACATCTAGTTTTGTATTAAAGCTAACTGGATGAATTAAATGCCATCTCGGCCTCAGAGGTCAGTCATGGCGTTTCTCTACACTTTAGAGTAGTACAAATAATTATACTGTACACTAGATTATACTTCTCTGATTTACTTCCCATCTATATTCTGCTGGACTGCTTGGTAAGACTTCCTCTCTCTCTCTTCTTGTCTCAGTGCATTGTACACTACACGTCTTGCTGTTTCAGGATGGGCCTAGAAGTACCATTAGACAGATGCTGCAGAGAACACTAATATTCTCCCTTCTCTCTCTGTCTCTAACTCTCTCTCTCTCACACACACACACACACAAAGCCTCTCACACACACTGGACCCAGACTATACACACCACTAATGCTTCCTGTTTGCCTTTAATCAGAGCTCAGGTTTCAGGAAGACAGGATGCATTAGTGGTGAGATGGGGAGAAACGTCCTGCATTAGCAGTCTGTTGACAAACCTGACGGCTGGAAACGACCAGTACCTCTATATTTTTTTAGTACATTTTTAGAGGAGAAATTGGAATGTTACAGCAGGTATGGCAAAGAGAGTCAGACCGACAACATGTGTCGAGATGTTTCAATGATTCAGGCCCGCCTTGTGTTATCGCCCACCTCTCGGTTCCGTAACTCCGTCTTTAGTCAACGAGATTTCGAGAGGACCGAAATCAGCTTGAACAAGCTAAGTGTTGTTCAAAGATGCATTTTCAGTTCAGAATGTTTGACCACTAGTAGCACTATGGAGCCATGTCGATTCCTGTTTGTTTTGTATCATGCATGCTACACATTACCGCCGCCATTTTAATGCTATTCTGCTGATCGACTGTGGAGGGTAACGCATCAAAGGAGCATTGCAATGTGCCCGCGAAAGCAGTGAAAGAAGACTGCAAGCTAGCAAACATGGATGTGTTTAAAATGTTCAAAAAAAAAATTGCATTTGCAAATGTTTTATTAGGAAGGCATTGCATTCAACATGGTCGATGACTTCAACCATTTTGTTTAGAGACACTGCATGTTGTCTTGTTTTGACAGAATTGGATCCGTTCATACCACATTCACCATCTTAGTTTAGCATGTTAGCATGCTAACATTTTCTAATTACTTGCAGAGCAGTCCGTGGAACATTTATTGAGATATGTCAATCAGGAACGTGGTGGACAGACCGACACTGCTGATAGCAATGGCTAAAAATATTGATGGCAATGATAGAAGTCTCTAAAAATCTGTGTACAATGCAAATAAATCCATAAATATATGAACAGACACATAGACCCAGACAGTATCTCACTATGTTCCAGATCCTCTGATGTCACATCTGATGATCGTCCCGTGGCTAACAGCGCATTCTATGACAGTTTTGTTACATATGCACGCAACAGAGGCATGAAGTGGTCATTATCCTGCCGAGGGACTGACTATGAATGGAATTCAAATGCTGTCCTGTTCAACAATACAGGCTGAGGCACTCTGATTTATAAAAAATAAAAATATAAAGTTTTGTGTTCCTGCAAATATTGAAGCTATATCTGACACATTCAAATTAAGGTGGTTAACTAGGTAATAAAGTGGTTAAATTCAACCTTTTCTTTTGTCCTGGTGATTATTAAAAATAGGTCATTAAAAATGATGATTGTAATGTAAATTATATTATCAATATCGACTAAAATTAAACTGTATTGCACAGCCCTCTGTGTTAACATGTAACTGTGTTCTTGTATGTGCAGGAATGCAGGCCAGGAGCACTTCCTGTGTTCCTTCGGCAACGGGCCCAGAAGCTGCATTGGAACTAAACTTAACGATGTCTTCCTGAAGGTGACTCCATTTCTTTGCTCATCACTCTTCCATCTACAAACACATGAATACATGTCCACTCCTTAGCGCCATAGTCTTTAGAATCGTCTTCTTTTTGAGATAAGGAGGTCAAAGATTTATGGAAGGTTGCGTGTAATGGAAGAAAACTGACACAAAGAAGAATTAAAAATCCTGAGATGTTGAGTAATTTGCATGCATTCATAATAAAAACTGGATGCGGCGCAGCCACTCCAATTTTTTTTTCACCGGTATTGCAGTGAAAAAGGCCTGTGCCCCAAAAAGCATTTCCCCATAGACCACCATTTTAATAGACACGTCGAGGTGTCAACAGTTTCACAAACGAGCTCAATTATGACTCTTTCTGTTGTGAATTTTATATTTTATATTGTGGTTGTATGTTTGTAAAACCTTCCTTGAGCTGAGAAAAAAGCCATTTAAAAAAACTGTGATGCAACCACTATAGATAGATAGATAAACATACATACATACATACAAACATAGGCGCAAATATTTCACAGAAATTGTAACGGTATGATGCAGTTTTGTTGTTCTCTGTTAGAGCTGAAAGTCTCTCCTCAAAAGGCCAAAAGGACAGCTGAAAGTGAGACTGCTTACTGTAGCTGTTCACCTGAAAACTGCAAATAGTGTGATTACAGGGTGCAAATATTGATATGGAAGGTAATATACGCTGTATGTATTGTCTTTTGAAATTATGCGTGAATGTGGTCTCTAGTGGGAGAAAGATTTGCAACCAAGATGGAAGTGAAATGTGGGAAGCTTCAGGTAAAACTTATTTACTGTATAGGTCTGCTACCAGACAACTACTGTACTGTAACTGTCTGACTGACATAATATGGCATATAAACAAAGAACAAAGAGACAGAAAGAGAGCTGAACCATGAGCACTCCTCATGGGAATGATGAAATGCTTAGCTGTGTGTGTGTGTGTGTGTGTGTGTGTGTGTGTGTGTGTGTGTGTGT